GCGATGGGTATGGTGAGCGAGCACAGGTGCCAAGTGACGGACGGGTCTTATCATCGCTCGGCGAAATATATGCTAGATGCGAAGAATTAGCAGGCTTTATGCATTATGATTCCTGACCCTGCAAAAGTTCTTGGAAAGTAAAAGCTCCTATGTTTTCCTTAGATTTCAAAATGTAAGAAATACTTTCGAAGTGTAACTTTGAACTTTGAAGCAAGTCTTATGTACGTTTTGTGCTGTTTAACCGAACGATTTTAAATACACATTTATCCCAGCTTATTGTTTGAATGTGACCTTGTGATCTTTGGTAATAAGTTGGCGATCAGCTAGCTTGCTGCCCAGTCAAAGTAAAAACAACACTCACCTTTGGATTGCAGTCTTATTTCCGTTTCAAACTCGCACTAGCTTAACAACGCATTCAGACAGTCTGTAGCCCGACCGCACCTTCCTCAATCTTGCCATAATGCCGATATTGAACCGATCAACGTGTGTGGTTTGGCCTTCGCGGAAATCAGTTTTCAGAAAAGCTCTTTTACTGTTCGTGGCATTTTGAATGAGCTTCACTGCTAATTGTTCCAGATCTTCCGTGGGGAATTTGAATGCCATTAGAAACTGCATACATGTAATCCTTGAAATCCAAACACTCGAGGCGGAGCTCCATCTGCGCGCGTGTGAGTGCCATCGTGTGCGTTCATTCCTCACCGTGTGGCCGATGGCCGTGTGGCTGTCAGCCCGCGCCACGTTTGAATCTGGCGCGCCGCGAACAGCGCCCGCCTCCGCCAACCGCCGTGCATACCGCGCCATTCACGCCGCCGATCCATTACCGCGCCGCTTTCAGCGCACCAGTTTCTTTGCCTAAAAAGAAAACCGAAACAGGATTTCTTCCCGAGTGGTCGCCGGACAAAGCGGGCGGCCGTCGCCGGTCGGAGGTGCTCTATGGTCGGACAGCGGCTCCTGGTCGGCCTGGGCCGTTGCGGCGCTCCTGTGTCACACAGCGGCCACTGTTGTCACTCGTATTTCCGGCCTGGAGTCGGTCCAGGAATGCGCCGCCCCGCCCCCGCCTGACCTTGTCCGCTCGACGAGTGCCGAACTGGGAGCGGGCTCGGCGCGGTGGCCCACGCCCCTTCAGCTGGTCGGGAGGGGAGGAGGGGGAGGCGAGTGGGCGGAGAAGCAGGAACGGGGGCAGGCGGAACGTCAAAGAAACCAGCGAGAGGACATTTATCTCAGCAGTGACACCGCTTAGCGAGTTTCGCGTCGTTTACGGACGATTTGGCGATTCTGACATAGTTTTCGGCTGAACCGAAACGGGGCAACGGGGACGAGTCTTTGACTTTGGTAGTTGATGTGAGGTCTAGTGAGAAGTGAGCTAACTGGCTTCGAATAGCCGCTTAGTGCCCCAGCGAAAATATGTGCAATGGTCCAAGGTTTCTAGGCATAGTTAGATCGACAGCGAAGGAGGGAATGCCATGAAAGGTACCTATCGACCTTTCTTTGAGGGCGGCTGGGCACAGTGCTATTAGCATTCTTTCCGTCACTTTGTATCTAAAATGCAGAAGGAGCTGGAATAATGACCGAGGTCACGCCGTTACTGCGCCTTCCAGAGAAATTCAAATTTCAATGTGCTGTTGGCGTACCACAACACCCATTTACTAAACACACAATACATTCTTACACTGCAGTTCAGACTTCATCTATGTACCCACTTTTTGAGCATTAAGCCTAAGGCGAGTGAAAACGTTAAACGACACACAATTTCTTTCTTGATAACGGCTTCGTGAGGTTAAAAAAGGAAGACACATATTCCATAATCCAATTGTGATGTGATGATGTTCCATAAGTACGGACCATGCCTTGTCGTAATGATCAATGTGCACTGCAAGTTATGCCTGCACGACTCGCGTAAACCGTGCCGGACCGGGTTCAAGGATGTTTGAACTTTAAACGCCCCGTGCGGCTTTTGAAGCTATCTAAAAAATGGCGGGTGGCGCCAATTTCGGCATACCTACATTTTTATTCATCTTTTCTCCACATGTTGTGAAGATATCAAACCCAGGTCACTCAAGGTCAGGTCACCATGTCAGCCAAGTGACCTTACCTCAGGAAAACTGTTAGGATGCTCTTCAATGACATGTCATATATATGCATCCACAGAAACCTCCTTGACCATTTTTCTTGGACCTACGACGCTACAGGAAGGTCAAATAAGCCATAAGGTCAAATTGTACCGGTTTACAACGAAAGGCAATTTTTACGTAAAAGTGACTTTAGTCACGTAAAGGATCATATTCAGTCAGCAAGAGGTCGATAAGAATCATAAACATTACTCCTGACGGATTTCAAGCACAAATACCGAAAATTTTGTGACGTCATTAGAACAGTCGCTACTTTTTTCAGTCATTCAAATGGCTATATCTCAGGCAGTTTTAGAGATATTTTGTTAATTTTTAGCATGTGTAAGGCCAGTAAGGGGTTCTCTAAAATATGTTAGGCGTTTTTTTGAAAATTTCTTCAAATTTCAAAAATATCTCAAGAAATCTAAATTTTGAGTTAGAAAATCCCTAGATCTAGAGATCTTTATATTTTGGAAATTTCGGGACAGCCATTTTGTTGGCCATATTTTTATACCTACGGTCCCATTTTTGAGTCGCTAAGTTGAAACCCTGATTTTCTGCGATTTTTCTCCGTGAACAACTATTTCGACGAAAAATCGCCGAATATGACTTTAGTTTGACCTCTATAGCTCGTGACCTGAGATGACCTGAGACCTATTTTTTTTTCAGGGTTTGTGTAAAATTGATGTCCGGAGAGGTACGGAAAGTTTCAAGTCGAAATTCGCAGCCGTTTTTGAGTTATCTCCGAAAAACCACTGGGGGGCCCTTTGGCCCCCCTCCCCAACGGGTCGCGGGTTAAAAGTCGTGATGCATGAAAACCTTTTAGCAGCATGCAAAATAAATACTTAAAACACGCGAGAAATATTGCAACCAAGACAATAATACCAAGAGACTTCACACATATTCTCCCATTGGCGAAAAGCTTAGGGGGGCGGACGCGGTCACGGTGTTCCCCCAAATCCCCCCTCTTCCCCTACGTACATTATAGGTACTTATGGAAGGTAATAGCCGTTTTCACGACGGCCATCTGGTCCACATTTGGTGCACATCTGGTGCAGATTAGGTGCAGATTTGGTCAAATTAGGTTCAGTATGTCTCTTAGTAGCTATCAGCTTGGGTTGCACTATTTGCTTACATATATGCCTTTGTCATATTATCAGAGAGTATCATCGATTAAAACACTGAAATAAATTCCTAAAATAAAGATATTTGCTGTAAAAGAGATTAGGTGCAGATTTGGTCAAACTAGGTGCACTCGCCGGATAGCCCGTCGTGAAAACGGCTATTGTAGGCCTAACAGATTTATGCTAACGTCGGTGAATCTTACAAATAAAACACGTTCCGACTCCCATCCTCGCCCAGGGCCAGCATCCTACACGTGTGCACAGTAAAGTGCCTCGGCTCTTTATTTATATATGCTTATTTAGTTATAGGTATCGCTTTATTTAGATGGAAGCTGCAATACATACGAATGAATTGTGCTGAAATAATTAAATGTAGCACCCTGATCCGTCTATTTATCCTTCGTTTTAACATGTTATCTATGCTTTTGTTCCCGGGCAATCAGCGAGTGAGCGAGAAGTGTGTCACCGTTGAAAGAGGTAAAAGGTAAAAGGGTGTCATTTTTAACCTATACGAATATAAGAGGACATTTCGACGAGCTTGAAGGATACGAGTAGTGGGAGCAAAGCTGATCAGGGATCCTTAGGGAAAACGGCCCCGATGACGTTCGAATTATACCTACAAAGGTATGCCTACAAAGTGTGATGCTATTGACGGGATGTGGCTGTTAGCGATGCTATGTAGCGACGTCAGCTCATTGCTGAGCTAGCCATAGTCGAAGATTTCTCACGCTCCTGTGAAAATGGCGACGAATGATCGTCATATTCGACCTCTGCACTTGCCCCTGGGTGGCCAGGGCCACCCAAGCCCAACAGGTGACACTATTCTAGACTTCAGGACCTGTCTGCCAATGCAGCACGCCTGCCATCTGCCCTCAGCCCTCACAGGTGCCCCTTCCAGCCTCCCTCGAAGGCCTCCGACCACCAAACCCCGGCGAGATTTCAAACCGGGCACCGGCGCTCCTCTCTTCCTGCGCCACAATCGAGCAACGGTCGCGGCGCGGCGGCGGCGCGCGGCGCGGATTCCGCGCCGGATTGTGCGCCGCGCGCGCCATTCAGCGCGCCTGCCAATAAATCGGCTCGAACAAAGCGCGCCGCCGCGCCGCCGGCCGCCGGCCGAGCGGCGGACCGTTGGTCAGGCCACACGCTGGTTGTCGCCTCGGGAACAGGTGGCTCACTGCCGAACTGCCAGCCGACGGCCCGGCCCGGGTGGCACGGAGAGAGGGAGGGATAGAGGGTGGACAGAGGAGGGCCGCCAACGGGTTGACAGGGAAGAGGAGAGGGAAGGAGGGCAGAGATAAAGGGGAGGCATCGTGAACGGGTGGATAGGATAAGAAGCGGGAGGGAGGAGTGGTGCAGGGTATGAGGGAAGAGGAGCGAGAGATCGTTGTGAGAGACCAAACATATTGCAATTAGAGCAGCATTGAGCATAGCTCAGCAGTGTACCATTGCAACCACAAATCTGCCCGCCAAACTGCTGAGGAAGATGTCCAAATCGCACCGGTATCTACAACAAAATGCAGTTGTTTGCCGGATGTGAACTCAGTCTCACGTGGATTGTGACAAGTGTCTTCGTTTGAGATAAAGAGCATTGAGATGATGACGTTTTTGACTTGACCTCACGCGATCCTCACTAATCCTCAGCCCGAAACACGGAAGCCTGAGTAAGTAGGTACTGATTCTGGTGGTTCCGTTGATTTAGTCGTCACGACTCCGGGTGTCTCCCGTTCCCGACTCCGACTTCGAACGCCTGATCTTCCAGCGAACAGACTATTCGGTAAGCAAACAACTTTATTACACTCTAAAAGTGGCTTATGATATAGATATTATATAGTTGCGGCATAAATGCCTAAATGTAAGACGGCCGTCGCTTATACCGATAAAACTGTACTCTACGTGGCACACGCCTACCATGGTATTGCAAATAAAAAATACATGTGCTGTGTAACAACTAGAATAACATTACATAAAAGTAGTTGCCACACCACGTTAGTTATAACGTTAGACAGCCAGCCTCATACGGAATGCGAGCTAGGTAAGACGGGAACCGAGCTACACAGGTAGGTATTGAACGATATTTCCTACTGGCACCAATTCCGTCTTATAAACAGGTAAGTCTGGCGTCACTTCAATTCAACACTCCACAACGCAGCGTTTATCTGCACTGTTCATGAAGCGGTACATTCAACCCCAAGTTGTATACCCCCCAAAGTCGCCCGCATTCTGATGATACTGGTGAATCCTCCTCCGAGCCGCTGCAATTCTCCGGCGAGCCGCCGCAAACGCGTCATCATCATCGTCATCATCGTCATCGGAAGTCGAGCTCTGAGGGTTTCCGAACACGCCCCACGACCCGGCGGCAGCGGGACTTCGGAACCTCCACGGTCGAAGCGTTGGCACGGCCATCGGCCGCCAGGCCGGTCGGGTCCAGGTGGCGCCACCGGCGGGCAGCTTGACGCGTCTCCACGTCCCCGTGGCTCCGTCGTAGACGAGGCGGATACCCCCAGAGGAGCGCTGCTCTGGGAGACGAACTGTCGAGTCTGACGAGGTGTGGGTCCTCACCCCGTCTCGAGTCTGGTCCTGTGGGACGCAGTTATTGAAATAATATGGAGACGTGGGGTGTCTATGTCGAATAAACTTCCGGCTACAAACAACTCGCGCTCGAATAGCACACACAACTGAACCCTTTACCGAATTAAATGTTCATGCCTCAATAAATCAACCTTTTCTATTCCAGATTCTCTTCATAAGTCCCATCTGAGGATCTTCAAACCTCCATACCCTTCTCCAGACCTTGATCTCTGTCCTTTGCGTCGACCTTTATTTCACATCCAATCATTATCTCTCTCCTGTTCCCCGCGACAAGTTATCCTCCTCCCTTCTTGGGCCCTCCCCGTGACCCGACTTGTCCTCCCTTCCTCCCTCAGTCCTCTCGTGACCGACCTGGACCGACCAGCTGTGTGCCACACCGCTCCGTGCCCGGTTGTAGGTGCGTGTATACGTTCCAGATCCACCTGCACCCAAGCGGGGACCACTGCGGGTGAACGCCCCAGCGTGTCCCGTGGAGAATATCCATGTAGGAACCTGCGCGTCATAAGGCACAGGTCAGGTTAGGGTTGCTTAAAGGTCAGGTTAAGGTAAGCTAGCCTTTTTAGCGGGTGGTGTTAGGTTAGAGTAAGAGGTTAGAAGGTTGTTCCGCCCCAGAATTAGAACTCAGAGGAAGCGAAGTGGTCGGAGTTGCGTGAAGTATTCGGCCATGCGTCGCCATGCTCAGTCGAAAGTCAGAGAAACATGTTCTGGTGAGAGCCAGACGGGTGTTAGGAGTTAGTTTATTAAATAAATATCACATAGCTTCATTTAAGTCGTCTTTTACGTCACAAGAAAGGAATCATGCGAGGCAGCCAGCTCTCGTCTAACTTTGGCGCTAGCACTTACATAAGTCGAAAAGAAAGACCCGTCAAATTCAGCGTGTCGACATTGTGGTGCACGGATTTGCCATAGGTCACACCCGTCACAAAAGTCAGCGCGCCACTGTGGCAGCCTAACCGTAGATCGTGAATCAGTCCGGTTCAGAACAGTGCTGCTTCAGCTATTAGTCATCGGTGACAACAGGAACGAGCACAACTGACAAGACAGTACGGGTACTCGCAAGACGCAACCTCGCTCCTTTCTAGTTATTCATCACATACATGACTCTTTAAGTCGTTAAACATTTTCTAGGCCGTTGTCATTTATGTCCAATATCTTTAAACACTGTCCGGAAATGAAAAAGCTAGCTATAGTAGGAAACTGAAAGGACTGGTTTGTAGAAGGAAGCATGCAGCTAACCATGCTAGGCCTGACAGAAGCAGGTGTGATAGAGCTCAAGCAGACCCTCAAAGACCCCTCAAAGCAAACTGTTCCCATTTCACCACCACCATACCCTTCTGACGCGGAGGCCATGTCGTGGTGTGTCCTGCTGCGGATCTGATGTGGTCGGAGGATCTTCGGGAGCGACCGTACTGGAGACTGGAGTCGCCGTGCTTGTCGAAGGAGCGGCCGTGCTTGTGGAAGGAGCTGCCGTACTCGAAGGGATGTCAGCCGTGCTCGGGACACCTTTACCAGATCTCCTCGGCGTTCCATCCTTGAAATGAGAGACTGGAGAGGTCGGGACAGCCCGGCCAGAGTCCATGCTGGTTCTTGTTTGATTATCTTTCTGCGTCGGCATGAACATCGAAAGCAGAGGGATGTGCCTTCCAGCAGCGTCCGAGAGCGTTTTGGCGAAGTCTTGCCACAAGTCTGGGAGAAAACTGTTCGCGGGCACGGTACTGTTCTTTGTTTCCGTGTGGTTTGTTGTGCTGTTAGCGAACGAGGTAGTTCGTGTAACAATCACGGTGCTCGTGTTTCCTCCCCAAGGCTTTGGGCTCATTTTGCCAGTCGGAAAATCACTTGCATCGCTGATATTGGCGTTAAGCAAATCAGCCTTATGATGCCGCGGTTTGTAAAAGATAACTTCGTTGAACCAGAACTTTGTGGTTGGAGACCTCGGCTCTGGAGAAGGAACTGTGGATCTGGGAGGTGACGCTGTTGTTGTGGCTTTGGTGTCGTTTGTATCCAAGTTTCCGGACGCCTTATCGAGAGAAGTTTGACCGGTTTTCGCTGAATCTGGCGCTGTTTTCGTGACCGTCCTTGACATCTTGCTGCTACCCTGCAAACACAAAATACACGAAGGTGTTTACTATGTATAAAGCGAGAGGAGGTAACTTTCGTACAGTGAACGGTAGTGCTTAAAATTAGATTATAGTGCTTACAATTATATTCTGAGCTAATTATTTATCGAGTACACGGGATATGCGCATAGATCGGGGAGGTCAATTCACCTAAAACCTCAAATCTAAAGAAATGTCAGATCAAACGTTTTGCACAAATGCTGCTGAAGTTTCACTGTTCTGTCGCAGGACTTTCTGTCAGTCAACCAATATGCTTTCGTCACCGCTACTGCCTATAAAATCACGTCGCATACAACACTCGTTGTGCGGCACGTCAGGCCTCTGACACGTGCCTTTTGATATACCGGCACAAATGCATGCCGACGTGCGCCGCCGAGCGAGCGGCGTGGCTTTCACCGAGCATGTACGCAAGGTAGCAGCCCATGACATGCCTCATTGAATGTCACCCTGACAGAGGCTGAAGACCATGCATTTCGTGAACATGACATACATATGTTGAAATCAACTGTAGCATAGGTATGACCTAACTGCGACGTCACGATCTGGCTTCTCCAACGTAAGTGCCCCATCCAATTAAACCGGTTAGATTTCGTCCGTACAAATCACGCGACCTTGTTCCCTGAACTGACATTTGATACGATAATCAAACAGCTTGAGAATCTCGACTAGCAATTGGTATGGAATTATTGGAATGTACGGAGTTTACTGATTAGCCCACAACCAACCAGTGTGAGTTTTGAGTGGAACTCACCCCGTGCTAAACTGAACTCGCTAAGAGCCGAGTTTAACTCACCAGGTAGCTGAGTTTCAGCCAGTCATGGCCCGTCAGCAGCAGGGTCAGCGTCACGGCCAGCGAGAGGACGATCAGCAGGCTGAGCACTATCAGCGTGCAGAGACACTGTAGGACAGAGAAGAGATGTCAGATCAGCACCCTGGTCAGTGTACAGGGACAGGGGACATCAGATCAGCCCCTGATCAGCGTGCAGACAGGGGCGGGACGGGCGTCAGAGTCCTCTGATCAGCGTACAGAGACAGAGATAGGACGTCGCAAAAGCTTGATGTCAAAGGTTACGACAAAAAAAAAAAAAAAACATAAAAAAGCGGTAACTCTGATGAGCTCTCCACCCTCTGAAGATCATACCTTTGGGCTTTAGCCTTAGGTCAAAAAGCGAGGGCACATAAGCGAAACAAGACGCCATTCTTGTCTTCTGCGGCCTCGTAAAAACTCACCGGCTTGCTGAGTCGCGCCGAGGGCGACTGGTGAGGCTCGGCACCACCCGTCTCGGCCCTCTTCTGGACATCATACAGGGACGCGCTCTTCATGTTGACCCCGCACCTCTCCTCGCCACCACCAGCTACACAATGACCCTGCCGACCACGGACAGCTCTGTCCCTGGTCACGAGCGGGGGCGGGGGGACGGGGTGAAATGTCAGGACAGGTGACGCCGCCCCGAGCCGTGCAAAGGTGACATTTGAAACGATGACGCACCGTAGAGGACACGACCGATGTGAGCCCGGATTCGAGCTCACAGAGGGGAGAACTCAGTGCCAAAGTGCGAGTCGAGTCAATGATGGACTACTGTTCAAGTGTAGAGTCTATGGTCGGTGTTTGATTTTGTTTGACTTGACCGGAGGACTTGCTTTCAAACCAGTGCGCTGTTTGTTCGGACTTCAGTGATTGACACTGATTGTCCGGTGTTCAGCGCGAGGCCCGTTCCCGAGGCATTGACCTTGACACGGCACAGCTCGATACCAGCCGAAGTCAATGTCGCCGAGAGCTGAAGTCGAAGCCTTTGGTACTTACGGTTCAGCGCATACGACACTGAACCGCGGGTACCATCAATACAGCAGTTACCACTGGAGCGTCACTCCAATCCCAGCACACTCTACAAAAGACAGAGACCCATTCGGCTCGTTGAGGACAAAGAGGACAAAGGCAGTCAGCCATTAGCTTGCGTCGCCAGATACATGCTGCCTAAATCATTGTCCCTCAGATACTAACCAAACCGGAGCTGTACCAAACAAGTTTGGTGTTAAACAGCGTAAGTGATTTGAACCATGTCTGTATTCAATGGCGACATGCGGCGTGGTAAGTCAAATAACACTATCCGCCAGCAGGCGGGTCACAATGCTGCCTTATAGGCGACCTCGAGCACACCCCACCCTCCCCCTCCCCAGCACATGTCAGGTATTAACCCCCACCCCTCCCCACACGTCAGGTATCGAGAATAAGTACACAACAATCAACCCCCCACCCCACCCCTGAAAGACGTCACATTATATGTACATTTGCCGGCGGTACAGTAATAGTAGCAGCCGCTCAAAATTCGGTCACCAGTCCACCAAAAACACATACAATCCCGCCAGGGAGCAGCGTAGTCGCAACACAATACAATACCTAGAATAAATACTAGCAAGCAGTCGGCGGGCGACGGGATCCTTTGTAAGTTTGATTCGTCTACCAATCGGTACAAAGCGGTATAAAAAGATTGTGTTGTATCATAAAAGTACATCAAGTAACCGAACCTGAACTTTGGTTCACTCAGTGCGGAGATAGGCTGTATTCACGTCAAACACACGTGCCAGGCACGTGTTTTGTGCACGGGACGCACGTGCCGCCGGTCCACCATTGAGATTCATGCAAGAGCACGCCTGTCACCGAGCACCACGCCTGGTCCCACCGTGTCGGCGGCGGATCCCCTTTGTAAAACAACACACACCCAGAGCTGCAGCGAGCGGCGCGGGGCTCTACGCGATACTGCTGCCGTCCAGGTCTTCTAGCCCGTCACCCATGGACAGCTGTGACTGGTCGTTCTCAGTGTCCACGGTGATGAGCAGTTTACGCTCGTCACCCATAGGGGCCGGGCTGTCAATGTCCTGAAACGCGACACAGGCGGAGGTCACAATAAATTAACGATGTGACATGACACACAAGATGCATTACACTGAAAAAAGCACAATGCTGGGCATGGTGACTGATCATCGTTATACAAATGATTATCTGAAATTAATGTAGAATAGGGGAAGTCGCCGCAAGAAAACGGAGCCTTTAAAATTCATTACAGAAGCTGGAGTTAGAAAAAATGAAGGGAAGAGCGTACAGGATTGTGAAAACACTTGAGACTCCCTGGTAGGCGCGACAATCAAGCACAACACGATTGCCAACGTTTATGTTTGAGCAGCTATTAATGACCACAACCATGTCTTAAAAAAACATTCCTCATGCACAAAACTTAATCACACAATGACGAACAAATTGAAACAACGACCTAAGAATGCCCATGAAAAACTAAGAGAAGAGTGAGCAGCTTCTCTTCACCGCCCAGAGCCCGCCGGAGCCACCACCAACCCGGACGCTCGCTCACCCCAGCCTGTCCTTTCCCCTTGCTGCTCAGAGAAGGGGGAAGGGGTCGACTCTCCAGACAGCCCACTGACCACTGAACTCCCCAGACAGCCCACTGACCTGCTCTAGACCATCGGCGTCGTCACATTCGAGCGGCACCGGGTCAGCGTAAATGATCCGCGGCCCGGCGTCAGACTGGCCCGCCTCCTGGCGGCAGGACACAGAAACTCAGTTATACAAACACGCCGCAAATCTCACTGCGGCTACCGAATAGTGGGCAGATCCAGCGGCTGCTGTTGGACACACTACGCTTAACACTTATGACAGAGAAAAATACAAAGTAAAAACACCAAAAAAGTTCATAACTGAATATTTTGACATTGGCAGCCATCTGGTTGTTACAACGAAACATTGGCCTACCTCACCAAGGCCGGGACCTCGAAAATTGGACCACGTCCAACCATTATAGTCATCCCCCTCGACGTGGTCTACCTATTCATCTACCATCGATCTTATCCTCCCCATCCACAAGACCCCTACCGCATGTCCTCACCTCCCGTCAGACCCGGGTCACCCCTCCCTCAACCTGCCCTCATCCGATATCCCCCGTCCGCACCAATCCACGCTCAGCAATCACCACCCGTCACCAGTCTCAGCACTCACCAGTCACTACTCGTCACCAGTCACAGTCCTCACCAATCCGCACTCACCAATAATCACCCGTCACCAGTCTCAGCACTCACCCGTCCATTCACCTTGAGGTGGGTCTTGGCGTGTTTGCTCAGGTGGTCGGAGCGCATGAAGCGTTTGGAGCACTCGGGACACTGGAACCGTTTCTCTCCCGTGTGGGTCCGCTTGTGCCGCTGTGGAACCGGCGAGTCGAGAGGTCAGATCGTGGAGAAGCAATACAGGAACATATGGACACAGGAAAGACAGCAAAAACTGGGGCTGTTGATTTTGTAGATATACCAACTAAATGTGATTTGTGGAACCTGAATGTAACCGTTCTGTAACCGTTCTAAAATGTGAACCGTTACATAGGCTGCTTGTAGCGCGATAGGAAGAACCGAAATCAATAGCAATCATCAGAACCGCTGGGACTAATAAAAACACGCACACCCCACTACGAAAGACCAGTGACTATAGCTGAGTCTGTCTGGTATGGTCTGTCCCCCTCTCCTCACCTGCAGTTCATCAGAGCGTGTGAACCGTTTGCCGCAGTAGACCCAGCTGCAGACGAAGGGCCGCTCGCCGCTGTGCCAGCGCAGGTGGGCGCGCAGGTGGGACGTCTTGCCGTACATCTTGTTACAGCCAGGGATGTGACAGATGTGCACCCGCTTCTTGTCAGAGTCCGGGTTAATCACTTTGCTGCAGGCAGGACGGAGTGATAACGGTAGAAACGGTTGGTAAATTGCAACTCCTCACAAAAATATTAGCGATCGACTGTCTGAAAGTGGCAGTTCTCTTCTACAGCCAGTAGCAGTTATGCTCTCACCAAACAATACGAAAAAAAGAACAAAACAGATCGGATCGCATACCACACTTAGTTTTAATAATCACAAGCATTACCGACTAGACTTTTACCCTCACTGTTAGCGAGTGACACCCTAGAGTAGACTCCACCGACACCAATGTCCACCGCTCACATCCCCTCCCCCAGCGGTATCACCCCTCCCCAGCTCGACCCCACTCCACTCACTTTCCGTCCGTATCGCGGCAGTTTGGACACGAGCAGGCCACTCGGCGCAGCCTGGTCTTGGGCCCCGCCTCGTCTCCGCTGCTGGCGTCAGGCGATCCGGGAGGCATCTGAGCCACCAGCTGCCCGCCCACCATCTGCATCTGGATCAGCTTGTTGCCGACATCGACCTCGGCAGGGGCGGGCACCACGGCCGGCGCTGCTGAGGTCGACCCGGCGGCTGGGGGACGGAGGGAGGGTTAGTGATGGCGGCATACCGCGGTGAGACGGTCTTAGAGTGCAGTGGGCGGGAGGAGCGAAATGTGAAGAGTGCAGGCAAGGTAGAATACCGATAAATTCCACTAAGAACTACGCAAGAAAGATATCTTATGGGCCATTTAACAGACGATCCTTTCTCTTTAATTCATTCCACCGCTTTCCCAACACCTCAACTCTCCGTTCCATCAATCTAACCATCATATTACCCTCACCATCGGCATCTCACCGATTTCCTAACGCCTTTACTACCTCCCTAGAACATCTCAAGATCAATGCCATTTTCCCCCATCGTCGTCTAACCGATCGTCTGACAACATTTGCTACCCCCTCACTCCCACTCACCATCAATACCATCCCTATCCCTCCCCCTCCCCGCTCCCCATCTCACCAATAATTTGCGCTCCGCCGGGCAGTGTGTGTACAGTCTGCCCGGGCTGCTGCAGTAGCTGCTGCAGGCCCTGTGCCGAGATCACCTGCACCGGGCCCAGGCCGGGGATGTTCTGTATGCTGACCTGGCCGCTCAGGGCCGTGTTCATCACCGAGTTAAGGTTGGGTACCTGACGGAGGCAGAGGGTGAGGTTAGAAGGTCTGTGTCATAGGGAGATGGACAGAGGGTGTAACGACGGTGGGGAATAGCCATATAGGAGGGAGACAGCTGAGTGATAAGGGGACGTCGACTGATTTGAGGAAGTCGGTGAGATCAGTGAGGGCAAGGCTACGAATGGGACGGGTCGAGACGGAAAGAGACAAACAGGATGGGTTTCGCAGGGTACAGGGTACTGTATCGAGTAATTGTAGCTAATACACAAACGAGACTGTAACCTACATGTTATACCATTATGTCTAGAATAAAGAGTACAACTCCAGTCTCCAAGCCCAACCCAGCCCGGCCCTCCCTTCCCCATACTGTCATTAGCGCCCTCTGACCTGTAGAACATTGGAGCCACTGACGGTCGCTGCCTGGGACCGGGCGGTCGCCTGCTGCTGCTGTTGTTGCTGTTGCTGCTGCTGTTGTGAGATGGCATTGGTGCCCGGACTCCACACAGTCAGCTGCTGAGGGCCGTTCGGTCCTGTCGAGAGGATGCAGGCACAGGTCAGACACGGGTGGCACATGCCTCAAGACTCAAGAGACTAGGTGGAACGGGGACTAAGCTTTGAGTAGGCCGGGACTAGAAAAACGCATCAAATTAAGATAAACTTCGTTTTTTTTTTAAAGGGACAATAATATAGGAAAACGATGTTGTTCATTACCGATTGCTAGGTTGAATACGTATGGTAGTATCAGGGTTTCATGGCATGAACGAACACATTTGCATACTTTCTCGGCAATATCGATCGAGTCCTCAATTTTGTCTATGGCTATCATTGGCATTCTGATCTACAGTCAGCGGCTCCTGCTAGCCGTTGTTTATTGGGGCTTTAGGGCGTGGCTAACCATTTCTCCTTAAATCTGGTAGATTTTGGAAGACAAAGTACACAATAAAAATGTATTAGGCGCCGGCTGTTGCACCTCTTCCATTTTTTTTTTTGTCGCATTCTTGCCACCGCTGATGTGCAGTTACGGAGAAAGGTATAACAGATTCAAGATTAGATCTTCACTCTTCTGTCATTTCACAATTTTACTCGTAAGTAAAAAACGTGCCATCAGGCTGAAATGTATTCAGCAGCCGCTACCTCTCATTCTCAAGACATCTAGAGAAGAACGACGACCCACATACAGCAAAACGTCCACACACAACGAATGAAACTGAAAACGCGGCATTATTTCACCCAACAGCTACACAATACACAAAAGCGTGAGCTCCACTGCACCCCTCAAACACCCATCATTTACCAGGAGAGCAGATCAGAGACCACCCCATCGGCGCGTCGCTTGACGAAACACACCCACTCTGGGAGAGCAGTTAGCTTATCGGATGCCCAGAACCTCCGCGCCGCCGAGGCTGTCGATTTTACACTGTCTACACCAGTAGAACGCGAGTCACTAGCGGAAGGTGGTTCTCTACTGTCGGTTCCATCAGAGCTCGGGTCACTGGCGGAAGATGGGTTCACATTGTTCACACCGACAGAACAGGAGTCCTTTGAAGGAGCCCTCGATGGATCCACGTTGTCCACACCGCTAGAAGAGGAGTCACTGGCAGCCACAGTTGACTGACTTATACCCTCTTTTTGTCCCAGAACGTTTTTGAAGGTTACCTTGTCTTCCCCATCAGCGTTCGCGTCTTTTACAGGCAGTGGACACCTCTCCAACTGTTCTGCAGTGTCAGGTGTAGCGTCTCCAACACAGGTACCAGCCGCAGCGCCCGAGATTTTCGGCTCTCCGGCACCGTTTTCTACGGTTCCTGTCGGCTGACAGTGTTGGACATTATCTGCCAGTTCAGTTACTTTGTCGCCGTCTTTAGAGTCTACTGTTCTTGGGAGATCGCCAGCATCAACGTCCACTGGTGGTTTGATTGAGGCGTGTTCGTTTCCGACCGTAATCGGTTTGCCTTCATCGGCTTGATCAGCAGGCTGGCACTCGTCGCCTTCTTCCGTGACAGTCGTTTCGGCCTTGCTGCTCTCTAACCCAGCATTCAGCTGAGACACAGGAGCTATTTCTTTTGGTTTCAGCCTTTCTTCCGTCTGATCGCCATCGCTCATTCCTGCAGTTTTCCCAGATCTATCTGCCTCCGACTCTCCCATTGACGACTGGTCCTCTTTCCTCTCCATCTCTTCCGCTCTCTCTGCCGGTTCTTGTTCCCCGCTCATCTCCCCCACCTCTCCACCTCCCTCACCCCCGTCACTCTCTCTCAACGGTCGACAGTCGGCGGTGTCCGCCAGCTCGCCGTACCTCTCCAGGAGCCTTCCCTGCTGCTCTGCCGTCACACAGACCACGTAGCGAGCCGTCTCCACTGCCACAGTAGCACCGTCTCGCAGACAGGCGGTCACAGGAGGCGTCAGAAGGTGACTCATACCGCTGGAGAACACAGCCGCCGCGAACCGGCCACGGAAGGCCGCTCGACGCGACAGCGCCGCGCCGCCGTCGGCTGGTAGGAACCGCACCCGCATGTGTGAGGCTGTAGATAGCGATGAAGACATGCTACTGAAGAGAGCCTCTAGGTTAGCGGCGCTGACTGTGGCGGCCGTGGCGACTAAGCGACCGTTCTGCTTCCGCGCCAGGCTTGGGTCACCAGAGCGCAGACCGAAAGGCGCGTAGGGGCCAGAGACGATGTCTCCCCAGTACCCGCGGCGCAGCTGCCGCTCGCCGGGCCGGCCGAGCGCACGGACCGTCACCAGTGTTTTGTTCGGACACGTCTGCTCGGTGCCAGGCCGTCTGAACGCTACACCCGTCTCGCGCCAGTGTTTGTACTCCTCCGGCTGAACGAACTCAACTTCCAGGCGGTCCTTGAGACGCATGTAGTAGTCCCAGTCGAAGACACCACTGCGCGCGTCGTACCGCTGAGCCAGTTGCTGACGCAGACGTAGGTCCCACATGTGCGCTACGTCTATCTTGGGGTCAGAGGACCGCCAGAACTGGAACACCGCTGCTATCTGGTCCCGCTCGCGGTGGCGCAGCTCAGCGAGCGAGACGAGCGGCAGCGCCGCGCAGTCGTCACCGCCCGTCACCAGGTCAATCAGCTTTGTGGCCGTCTCGGCGATATAACGGGCCGTGCTCGGCCGAATCAGAGTATTACCGACGATCTCGAGGAACATCCATACCTTCTCCTGCAGGCCTACACTATCGGCCGGTTCACACAGCAGCCAGAGCAGCAGCAGCTGGCGGGCGTACACCTCAACGCTGTTCTCTAATACATAAAAATCCACCGGTCGGTTGGGGTGATGCAGCGCTTCTGGAAGATTCTGAAGAATATGACACAGATCGGGCACGCCAGCGAACAGAACGCTAGCAGCATCACACCCGTCCTTGTTCCAGAACTCAAAGGCTCCCGGGTTGGAATCTTCCACGGTGAAGTCGATGGCCGGAGAGAATCCCCACAGGGCGATTGAGCCCATGGCGCTGGCGGCGTCCATAGCCATTGTCAAAGACCGAAGGCGGCAGGTAACGACCGTCAGATTCACCGATCAAATATGGCGAGACAGCTGTGCTGATTCTTGAAACTGAATCAAAACGATGCACTGCACTGACCAACCATTTCTGGCATTGGCAAAGGAACCTGTAACGAACAAGCCGAATAACAAACCGGCGTCAACTACCATACTCGAGTCGCACGGGACTTTGCAGTTCGATAAAACGGCGACGCCAACGCGTTGCCATGACAACAGCACCCCAGAGTCACAGCTCCACTAGTCCGCTGAATAAGCAGTGCATGACTGTCCGAACCATTTTCCCGATAGTCATCACAGAAGATAGTACCCTTCTTCCGTGTAATCACATATGATACCTCGCAAATTCATCTCGAGCAGCGAGTCAAGTCGTATCCCAGCAGCATACGAAACATGTGTATTCACTATTCACGCAGTTTGCACCGTCAAACCCATCCGTGCTGCGTGAGTTTCCCCAGGACATCTCAGGGACATCTCTTTCCAAGGACCATTCTAATCACATCCTACCGCCCACTCTCAGAGGACACCATTGCGACGGATTATCCCGAATATGCGCCGCAGCGCACTGCCAGCCGCGAGCGGCAGAGTCCGGTGACTCATCCGACCTCGGTCGTCCGCCGTCCCGTCCCGCGGTCCAGTGACGACAAAACCAGTTCCCGGGGGCCCCGTGCGCCAGTGTCTGCGGCACGTTCCCAAGTGGCGTATCGTGCGCGCTGCAGGACGGAAATGACAGCGATAGGCTCCTACCGTCGAGTGGGCGACGCTGCACAGAATATGTAACGGTGGAAGATAACGACATGTCTGCAGTAGCGAATGTGTTTGGATTTGTACGCATGGTTCGTGCTATGGCATTTGTAAAACCAACAGCTGAGGAAAGATCAGATACCATATGACGTTTTAGAACAGAAAAGACATCAAGGATGATACTTGATTCTCGATACTTTAATCTTTTTTTTTGTATTGCGAATTAGAGCTGGTGTTATTAAAATTTGAACAAACTATCGAAAGTGAAATTGAAAACGTGCACACCGAACCTAATTTTTTTTTCTTCAAATATCGAAAACCAGTAATGCATAAAGAAATGACAGCAAATACGGAGCGACGTAGGGAGCAGTCTGATGCAATAAAGCGCAGCAGACGGTTGAAATGACATCAAAACGTGCATTATTAGCACCTACCTACTACAATAATTACATATTTCGCATTGCACAAACATCAAAGGTCATTTCGCACTACATCGCTAAAAGACCAAACGGTTCAAGCATCAAACGCTCAAAAGAGAAAGATCAATGAAGTGCTTAGGTGTCAAATGAAGTGAAAAATGGAGTTCCTCCAATGTCTCTCCTTCCAGTTCTTCTCTGGCACTGTTCCAAGAATAAAAAGTCCAATCCTGCCTCCATATCACCCACCAGCCTCCTCCAGGGCCTACTCACCACGGTCCCCTCCAATCCCAGGACACCAACCCAGATCACGTCAAATCCCGGCCACTACTCTAGGCCACTCACCCTGCACGGTGATGGTCTGCTGTCCTCCAAACAGTCCCGCCTGCGCCAGCTGCAGCGCCATGGTCTGGCCGGCAGCCTCGGCTCCGGCCGCCGCCGCCGTGGTCTCCTTGCTCTCCTCCTCGGCGGGCGAGGTCTGCGCCGAGCCCATCACAGACGTGGTGGACGTGGTGGTGGACAGACTGGTCGGCTGCCCGGTGGAGACGGGATGTTAGCGATACATGAGCAGAGGTCGAGCAAGAAACAACGCCTATCAGAGAGTAACGACATAAGATGCCCTTAAAAATATTGTAGGATATATTCACAGCACTCAGTGCTTCAGCAGGATCATTTCAACGAACAGTGAGCGTACGGTTATTTCTCAATACTATTCGAATACTTAACAACTTAACCCTCGCCGGACCTATTGGTTTTCTACATACGCGCCGGCCGAGGGGGGGGGGCGGGTACGACCCCCCCTCGCCGTTTCGCCCCTGGTGGAGCTAGCGCGTCGCGGAAAAAACGAGCGTGTGCGCCGTTACGAGACGCAGAGATTGGTACCCGATTTTAAGGTCCTAGGTCAACCGGTGACCTCTGAGGTCAGGTCAAGTCCCCCAGGGTACGGTTCAGTTTTTGGTGAATAACTTCGCAAAAAACGGCCGCAGAGCCGCGATTTTGGCAGCATCGTGTTCGCCTCGCTCAGGCGCGTCGAATGATATACTTTTTGTCCGGGTCAGGTCTACTTGGGGTGTTGACCTCAGGTCAAGGTCAGGTCAGCACCCCCAGGTCACGAAGCTGGTCGAAAGGGGTCATGTCGCATATCATTCGATTCGGCAGGTCTTCCTGAGTCCATTGGTGGCTTTCTCGACTCGCTAGCTCAATTTGATCAAGAGTTATTGACGAAAAACTAATATGACCTTGATGACGTCATAAATGACGTCACGCAAGGTCAACATTGCAAAAGTGACGCATCTAACCTTGCAAGGAGTGCATCAAATCACGATTCTGTGTGCTTGAGATAGTTGGAGATCGTTCCCGGCGCCCGAATAGCAGTTTTCATTTTTCCCCATTGAATGGTGAGGTTACGAAAATGACCTGACCTCATATGACCTTTAGGAAAAATCCGAGATATACAAGTTGTGAGACTCATAATGGATACTAGATCCTGCAAGTTTCATTTCCCTGTGACATCTCCTCTGGCAGTGAGGGCGTTGCGAAGTTGCGACATCTGAAGACCGTGCAGAGGTTCACTTATGACGTCATAGGTCAGTAACCTGACCTGACCCAAAAATGCGGTTGGTGTCAAAAGATGCGGCTTGGATCAAAGGCCAGGTATGCCAAGTTTCAGCTCTCTATCGCCAGCGTGTTCGGAGCTATCGCGAAAAAACCCTAGGGGGGGGGGGCGGCACCCCCCCCCCCGGCCGGCGAGGGTTAAATGTAAGCCACATATGATATCTCAATTCTCAGTGTAGAAATCGAGCCCACTTAACAGGAGCGTTAGTCTAACGCTCCTGTTAATCTCATGACACACTAGCCCGTCCATCCCAGCGCGTTTACTCCGATACAGACACGAAGGACGGAGACATGAGGTCCTTCTATCGACCCTCAGCCGTACCTGGCTGCTGGTGGACGCGGCGGTGGCGGGGGCGGCGGCGGCCTGCTGCAGCGAGGCCAGGTGGTGAGCGGTTACCACCTGTACCTGCTGCAGCTGGCCGCTGGGAGTCAGCACCTGGGCGTACTGCGGCATCTGAGACACGCACACGGGACGCACTGTCAGACGGGTAGCGGGCCGAAGGGAACCAGTAACCACCCATCGCCGAGGGCAAACAGCGAGGTGTGGAGCGCCTCGGTTAAACACATTACATTGCGGAGTCTGTTTACCAATTCCGCAGGATCGGTCTATGGAGGCTTCTGAATGAAATATGCAGTAAAAAATTATATCAAGTGATACCTTGACAAAAGAAACAATCACAAAAATATCCCTTCATCATCAACAGGAAGAGATTCTTCAGGCACAATAGCAACAGAACAAAGCCTCCCGCCCCTGCCCCTCCATGGCCAGTGGCCACCCCAGTACCCTCCCCTCTCCGCACCCCGCCAACACTCACAGCACCGCTGACCTGGATTTGCGGCATCAGTTGGAGCTGCTGGGCGCCGCCCGCGGCCGCCACCGGCAGCTGCACCGTCTGGTAGACGGTCTGCCCGCCAGCCGTCGACATGGGGATCTGTACGGAGATGGTCTGCATGCTCTGCTGCACCGGCACCTGCACAAACTGGATCCCGTTCGGCGTCTGCACCTGCAGCTGTCGACCTGGAGACGTCGGGAAGGGCGTCAGGGAAGGGCGTCAGGGGAGGGCGTCAGGGAAGGGCGTCAGGGAAGGGCGTCAGGGAAGAGCGTCAGGGAAGAGCGTCAGGGAAGGCGTCAGGGAAGAGCGTCAGGGAAGGCCGTCAGGGGAGGCGTCAGGGAAGGCGTCAGCAGGGAGAGTGTCAGGGGAGGGCGTCAGGGAAGGGCGTCAGGGAAGGGCGTCAGGGAAGGGCGTCAGGGAAGGGCGTCAGGGAAGGGCGTCAGGGAAGGGCGTCAGGGAAGGGCGTCAGGGGAGGGCGTCAGGGAAGGCGTCACGGCAGGGCGTCAGGGGAGGGCGTCAGGGGAGGTGTCGGAGAACCGGTGATAGGGATGATCACTGGCGTCTGACGAGGGTTATACTGGGAGAAACAGCGCCGGACGGCGCACACCACCATCCAGAACGAGACGCCACCAGCCTCGTAAATAACATCGTCGCGAACAGTCATGCATATGTAGATAGATAGCAGAACTGTTATTTTGATGGCACAGACAGACGTAAATGATTCTGATGTTAAATTCAAGAGGAAAAACTGGTCCTAGTCAAACATATTAACGTGTAAAGCCAGTTATGAGCAACTGAGAACGATTCAGCTTCCATTTTTAATTGGCGGTAAAAGCTTTGCTTTTGGCATATAACACATCTGCAAAAAATGACAGCAGATGAAAGAGGCCTTGCCACTGACAGCACATCCTGCCACTCACCTGGACTGAGGGAGATGGCCTGTGTGCCGACGCTCTGCACAACGTTGGAGCCAATTAGGTTCTGGGGCCGCACCAGCTGGGCACCTGAGAGGAACTGAGCACCAGACACCTGGCCGCAAAGGAGGGCAGAGCACACAGTGAGATTCTCCACAACAGCTTCACAACAATGTAACAACTCACACACCAGCACTGCCCACTGCCCCACAGACTGCAGGTACAGCGATAGTCGATAGTGCAAACAAAACCTGTGAAAATATGATAGTTTGGCAGCATACTTCAAAGATATTACCAAACCATGAAATTGAACAAGGTAAATCATGTAGCTGGTTGATGAGTAAAAAGCATCACTTAATGACAACACATCACTCATCTCTTACAAACAAATCAACTCAAATCCCTCACTCACCAAACTTCCATGGGTGCCAGCTGGGATAAAGGTGGCTTCCTGGCCATCAAAAGTGATGGGCACTCCCGAAGAGGCTATTATCTGCGGCTGAGCCTGCTGCTGCTGCTCCTGCTGCTGCTGTTGCTGTTGTTGTGGGCTACTCTGGGAGCTATTTGGCATTTTGACTTCTGAACAAAAGTGCTCGTCTGCCTCAGACAACACTGAAATATGACATAATAATAAGGCACAG